TTCAATGTATGTACAAAAAAAAAGTATGTTCTGAAAAACGAAACTTAGTGTATGGAAAAGTCATTCTCATGCTTTCGGATATGGAATTCAATTCTCACCAAAATACTGTGATTGCTCAGTTGACGAGTACAGACGATTAGGTTATATCGAAATGAAAAAGAGCAATCAGCTAATTCAATCAGAGAAGCCTTTTCTCAAGTTTTTACTTTATGATTATTCGTGCAAGCATTTCTTCTAAAAAATATATATATCAAAAGATGCCGAGTTCTGTGGAAAATTTGTTAACATGCTTGCCATTTCAGAAAATGATTGGTGTAGTTTGTATTAGGGTTCCACTTTTTTTTAGAACCGTTGCAGTTGAACAATTGAGTAAGTGGTAATATTTCAAATTTTGCTCTATCCAAAAAATAAACTTACTAGAGAAAGGAATTCAATCATTTTATGCAGCAAGACATTCTCTATCGAATGACTTTCTGAAAGTGTATTTGAGTGTCCAAAATGAAAAAGAAAACGATATAGTCCTGTTTAATCAACTTCACCCGTTGGGCTAGTATTGATGATAACTCTAATGAAGTGAGTTAAACAAGCTATGACGTTAATCTTAATCTGATTAGTAAGACAAGTAAGAAACCTTATCTGCTAATACTCATCTCATAAAAGAGATCGACAAGCTAAGTCATTCTTTGATCTGACATATCACTTGGTTGCTTATATGACATCTGTCTAATAGATTATGTGCAACCATCAGTATTTTTTGCACTTCAATTTTTAATTTCTAATTTGCAATGTTGTGAAAATGTTAAAATAAAGACCAGCAAATGCTTGCATAGAGTGAATTGACGTTGAAAATAAATCAAGACTTTGAATTAAATAAACAACTTTTTGGTATTTTTATCGATTATCTTATTTCATAATATTCTCTTTTTCTCCATAGTACATTGATTTATTTGTATTAAAATGATTACGAGAGTAATCATGAGATCATCAAGTATACAAGACATTCGATAAAAACAGTTTTCTCTTTTCTTATGCATTTAATTTATTGATGCTTGAAATCGTCAATCCTAAAACTTTAGTGTTCAACACTCTTTCTTTGAAAAGTTGGTAAATATCGACTTCTTACGACTATTATATCCTTAGGAGAAAAAATAATAAACAGGTCTCTGTGAAAAATTGTGCTTCTTTTTATCTCGACATATGATCGAAATTTTTTTTATAAATGATACTAAAAGATTGAGAGCTAAAAATACTTTTGGTTTCAAGTTGAATAGGATCAACAGTCTTAATATATTGCAGATAGTAATAAATTTTTAATGGTTTGCATTAAGTTCAGTCGGTGTGAAAACACCTAATAATACAAAAACGTATACATTGTGCAAGTGTTTTTGTTCTACTTCACTGCTTTTTCTTTGCTGATATGAGGTAACAATGCATAATTAATGAACTGTCTATTAAATAGTGATGTGGAAATCTCATGCTGTATATATGCAAAAAAAGACAAATAGGAAAACACTCTATCACATAATATAATAAAGAAAATGAGCAATATCTGTGAGCATTCGACCAGAATCTAACACTGAGGTCACACTGTTTCTCAATGTCGATCGACCATTACATAATTCATATAAAATGATGTTTTTTTTTTCTAAGTTCAATGAAGGAAGAGAAATAAAAAGTTTAATAGAATAATAAACAACGCCCTTAAGTTAAATAGTAATTGACATTTTGGAACTTAAAAGGCTCTGAACAAGTTGTCAAAAATGTTTACTTAAGGTCAATAGAAGTTACAAGCATCTGAACTATGTTGGAGACTGAAACAGAATTAGAATATTTATAATATAATTCATAATCAAATAAATAGAGAGATAGAGAAAGATTTATTGGCGCTTTAAGTTGTAAAAATTTGAGTTTCTATTGAATATCGTTGTTATGAATGGTCGAATTTGAACATCTCCATTAATACTTTATGAATAATCTTTGAAAGAAATTTTTTTTTTATAAATTGAAAATATTTGTAAATTTTACTTTATTTTAGCACCTTAATCTACATACAACGTTGTTCTCATGAACAAGATAAAATATTCAAGTCCATAATTGTCTTACTATTCGTACAATTTTGGAATATTTTTGAATTTAACCAAAGAATGAATAAAAATATTCTTTCGTATAATAGAAATTTAAAAAAAAAGATATCAGTCTTTGGACGATCAATACTCGAAGCTAAACAATTGGAATGTCACATTACCAATATCATTTGGTATTAAACGATATTGATATGATGACATGTTCACTAAAAATGTTGATGAACTATTAGATATATAAAATAGGCTTAAACACTACAGCGTATTAAGATAGGTTAAATTTTTGAATAAAATAAAATAAATTTTGATCTTTTGTTTATCATTTGATATTCTAGAGAAATATTTTTGAATTTTTTTGTTTATATTGAAGTTTCATTTTGACTTTATTAAAAACGGGTTATAATCAAAAACAAACGACATAACTTGAATAAAGTCGTAAATGATATCTTCTTAATTGTTTTATTTTTTCTTCTTGACGAAAAAATGTTCCGATGTTTGTGTTTTCGTTCTTTTTTCTTATTTACTCTCGTGGTACATCAACTTGACCATTATCTATTTGATTAATAATATCATGTGGATGAGAACCTTCTACTTTGCAACCAACAGATTGAGCTGTGCCTATTAATAATTATAATAATAATAATAATAAACAACAAAAATTCACTTTTAAAAAGTTTTACCAAGTATTTCTTTGACAGTTCCATCAAATGTTTTAGCTAATGAACGTGGTCGCATAATTCGAGCAATTTTAAATATTTCATCAAGTGAAACATTACCATCATGTTTAACTTAAAAAAAAAATAAGCCATTGAACATAATGAAATTTAAGTGAAATAAAAAAAAACAAGCAGTTTACTATTCTTTTGTTTTTTACGATCACGTGGTGGTTCTTTAAGTGCTTTAATAACAAGTGATGATGCTGATGGAATAACATCAATTTTAGCATTACGATTTTGGACAGTTAATTTTACTGTTACACGCATGCCTTTCCAGTCACCAGTAGCTTTAGCAATATCATCACCTACTTTTTTTGGTGACTATAAAAAGAATAAAAGTTAATTTCTATTATAGAAACTAGAAATTTCAAATATTTACTAGACCAAGAGGGCCGATTTTGGGAGCTAATGATGAACCACCTGGTGCTTCACCACCGGTGACACGAACCATAACTAAATATGAAAAATTTTACAACGACGATAAAAATAATACTAAGATCTATCTACTTTCATAAACGGCTGTGGGATCAAATTTTGGACCCATGATGTTGCCTACGTATGTATTTTAAAACTGAAAGATCTAAAAGAAAACTGAATATTTAGAATTAAAAGACTTAGATCATTTCTTTCAAAATTGAATGTATATTTATGAGGAGGAACTATTATTTACATTATATATGTATTATATGGAATACATTCAAACGAATCATAGAATATAAATATTGATAGTATCAAAAGTATTTACGATAATATAATATAAGATTAATAAAGTTCTTTTAACGTTTTTTTCTTTTGATCTCATTTCATTAAAATATAATTGAAAAGTTTTATCAAATTTTTTATAATGATATATGACATAGATGTCACTTATCAGCATAACATAAATGTCAACTTATTATATAATACTAATTGTAATCAGCAAAGGATTTGACAGGCAAAAAAGTAGAGAAAAATGCAAGATAATTTTTTTCTAAATAATGAATTAGTACATAATCTATTTTTTATATTAAACCACGATTTGTCGATTCTTTTTTTACCTTCGTTGATTTTTTTTTTGTCGATAAAAACATAAATCTCTTGTGAGAGAAAAGTGAATATTTTTTATCAAGTGAGAGATGCGCTTTTCCCTGAAGCTCTCATCGACACATATCTAGTAATTAATTTTCTTATAAAAGAAGCTTTTAATAGATTTTGTTAGGGAATTAGATTAGTTCGCTTTTATTCCTAATGAAAAGGATTTAGTAATTGTTCATAATAAAACAAAAGAAAAGTATTTATTGTATTTTACACATACATTCAGATGTTTTAATGATCTTAGGTTAACATGAAAAGAAACAAATTTTAATTATTTTTTTGAATTACTTATTGACTATATGATGAATTGTGCTTAAGTGCTTTGTGATGAATGATTAGCATCGTAATAATTAATAGTAATTTCGATTATTGCATGCCGTCTCTCAAGTTAATTAAAATTTAGCTGGCTACGTACCTAAATTGCGCATAGTTCCACAAACATTAGATAAAGAAATCAAATAAAAACGGGATTGGTTGATATCGGATTGTGAAACGTTGACGATTTTCGATATATAATTGATACTAGGATTTTACCATGATTACTGACTCAATAATTAGTTGAATGCTAGATATTAAGTTGTACAAAATAAATGTTTTATTCTATTTTAAAAAATGCCAATCAGATAAAGTTTCATAGTTCTAATATTACAAAAGAAATTTTTTTTGAACATTGGATAAGAGAAACGATGTTAAAATATATTAATACTACCATCAATATGAGAAGGTAGTTTATGATATAAAATACGAAAAATGTTGAAGCTGCTTTTATTATAAACCAAAACTTCTAATAATTTATGCTGAGCTTAAAGAAATACTATATCTAATTATGTAAAGAATATGTTCATTGTCTGATGTCAAGACATGTTAAAAATAACTATCGAATGCCTAATACTAACATTCCTGTTTCGAGTTTTCCATGACATATAGTAGTGCAATTATTGAATATTTTCCTTTTGTTTAATGTATCAACAATTCATTTTTCAGAAAACATTATATTCATTAATATTAAAGAGATAAGTTTTTATTTGTTAGTTTATTTATTAATTCAAGGATACAATAGAAGTCAATAGCTTCTTTAAAAATCAATATTATTCTTTTTGAAAAAAATTTTTTTTTTTCTATTATTTTTTTAACGTTTAAGATATATTGAATTGACAATTTCATTCATAACTTCCATAGGAGGTTTTGTTACTTGTTTACGCTTTTTTAAATTTGGATATCCTCCGGGATTATAAAATGAATATCGTTTGTTGACCGATATATCTGATGGATAATAATCATCAATATCATCATCATTATTGTTGTTAAGTTGTGTAAACCATTTGGGTACCACAATGTCGTTGTCATTGACATGCGACATTAAAAATTGATTAGCCTGTGTTCGTGGTTGACCATACCATAATGATGATGATCCTGAAAACGGTTGTTCATGGACGGAGGATGATAATGAAGATGAATCTTGTTGCAAACCAGTATGATAATCATTTAGATCATGCATCAATTCATTCGAATCATAAGTAATTTTGTTATTATTATTATTATTATTATTATTATTGTTATTTTCGATTGGATTTGATAATGGTGTAGGTGAACATGATATACATGGTAGAAATCCAATGAGAAGAGCATAAACAGTGATGGTCATGATTAATTGTGAAAAGAAGGAACGTGGACGAGCTACAACAGATGATGACATATGAAATAAAACTGAACTGACTGATGATGAACCTTGTAATGAAGCTTTATTCGACATGTTTTATCTTTTCAATAATGAATAAAGAAGAATAAAACGACGGTCACTTATCTAAAATAGGATCAATCTTGTTAATTTTTTCTTCTTCGCTAGTTTTCTAGATTGTCAGCTTATTAAAAGATTATCAAACGTGACAGACACGCATATACTTGTTAAATTATACAAAAAAAGAAATTTCAGTAGGCGAAAAAAAGAATAGACAAAAAGTAGCACATGTGACAAACGGTATTAATTAACATGCACGAAGACATCCACGTAAGAACATACTAATCTTTCATTTTTTTTTTCAAATAATGTACAATTATCTTTACTAGTTCATATTTATTTTATCTATTCGATTGTCATGATTTACTTACCTTATTTATGTATATAATATAAAACAATAGTTAACAATGTCTTTTTTGTTTAAAGAAAGTTAGTATAATATATCAACTTATCATAATACAGGAAGTTAGATAAAAAAAAAGAAAAAGAAAATGAAAGAAAGGAAGATCAAATAGTCTATTAGTGCTACCTGTTTTTCTTTACATAAAGAAGAACTCGAAAGAAAAGGAAAAAAGTGAGGAAGAAAAATAGCTCTTATCTATAACTTTTTTTCGCTCAATTAAAACATACAGAAAATAAACAGAAAATAGTTAATGATAGAGTAATAGCTTCTTTGTTAGATACTTATGATAAATCATTAAAAAAAACTAAATATATATATATATACATCATCGTTGATAATTATTATACTCTAAATTACCTGAACTTTAATGTGCATTTATTTCCGTTATTAAAATCTTAAAAGGGCATCTAAATTTTATAGCGTGACTGTGTTGTGCTTGATAAAATTGATTTCTTCATATATTTGACCTTCCAATGAACTTCATAATATACTGAAAAAACTGCAGAATATGGGAGATGTTGATGACTAATAACGGTTTATTTTAGTTAATATACATCTTTTGGGATTTTTTCAATTTGATTTTTGAGTTCAGAAATGTATTTGTAGTATTAATAACCATTACAAGACAAGATTATTTCCTTTACGATATAGTTTTCTTTCTTTATAAAATCTAAGACGAAGAAAAAAAAAAATAAGAATTATGTTTTCTAAAATCCAATCTCTTCTACTTTTTAGAATTTTCAAACTTCATTATAATTCGAACAAGAAAGAAAAACAAAAAACAAAAAGACTCATGAAAAATGAGTATTTAATAAATAAAATAACGGAAACAACTGACTAATCTTAATATCCGCTCTCGTTAATTGAACATAAATACTTTACTTAAACAACATAAAGAATAATAGTAATGCCATTGCTTACGCATTTAAAAAGAAACTATGATCCAATCATGATTATTTTACAAACGAGTACAAACTTTGCAAGAGCTTCTTTAGCTTTTCTAAACTTTGACCGTACATTCATTTGATTCTGTTTCTAAAAATAGAATTAAATACAAAAAACATATGAGGAAAATAAAATCAGTCAGATGGATACAAACAAAAAGTCATACTGTTTCAATGATTTTTTTTATGGTCGACATCTCCTGTTTCATCTATTTTTTTCTACTTGAAGATGATGTGAGCTCTCTTCTCTTCATTCCACTTCATACTCACACAAACATATAAACCACCGGAAACAATGCTTTCATACACGTTCATATAAATGTATTGCAACGTCGAATAAAAATCGATGAAATAACAATTAGTTAATTGTAAAGAAAGGAAGACTTCTTTTAAAAGTCATAGAATCGAATAGAAACAATTTTTAAAGAGTTATTCACACGAACACTGATTTGTGTGTGTGTAAAATACGGTGTGTCATCTAGAAAAAAGAAATCACGTTCTATTCTTTATATCTAAAGAAAATGTCTGTCATAGTAAGAGTACTAATAGCAGTGTTGAATAAATAATTAAATAGATAGGAATAGAAATCTTGATAAAATATATCTCATGTAAATACAGGGACATATGTAGATGATTTCCGGTGCAAGGAACATACGTTTCTGTTTTTTTATATAATGTAGGCGGTAGTGTATAATAATTTACACTTATGTTGCATAAGAATGACCAAAATTTAAAATACCTATGAATTAAAGGCTTTTATATGCAAATGAACTGTGATTTATTGTTATTGCAAAAATAGAAAGCTTGTTCTTGACAACTATAGTCATCGCTCTATTAATATAAATGTTTTTAGCCGTCAAGAATAATATTGTTTGATATATAGATAAAAGAAAATAATTCAGACAATTATGTCTTTTTTGTTAAAGAATTCAATTTATAGTAGATGAGGAATTTAGAATATTTATTTTCTTCATGAAGTCTAAATTACATTGCTGAGAATCGCAACAACAAATTTAGATACCAACGATGTTTTATTTGTATTAGACATCTTCTTTTACTGTGTAACTCTATCTAAATGTATTTCTCTCAAGGAATGCTACAAGCAATTTGATTTAATGAGAAAAAAAATTATGAATTGTTATCTTTAATCATCTGTGACAGCATTGAATTTTAGTTGAATTTATTCGATATTCATATTTTAATTTTTATTATTTGTTGTATATAATGAGATAAATTATTCTCTAGAAAAGATAAAATTGTTAAATATTACCCCATATGAAGTCGAGATAGAATTTTAAATGTCATTAATGCAAATATTTGTTCTAATGGTCCAGAAATATCGGATGAATCTATTTTTGTTGTTGTTGTCATACTCAGATATAACTCATTTGTCACAAACACTTTGCTTTCATTATTAGAATAAATTGAAAAATATTTGTCGTATTTCATCAATGAAAGCAAAGAATAAAAGTCATATAACTTCTCTATGTTCATCTTGTAAAAACAAACGAAAACTTTATCAATCATCTTATTTTCGTGCGTGGCTTAAATATAAATCAGATAATATATTTGCAGCAGGTCCTGTTGTTATTATTCCTGTTCTTGCTTTAATTTCTATTTGTTTGATTCTTATTTTTTCATCACTGTATTTATGGAGTGGAGAAACAAACACATATTCCCAATCATTATGGGAAACCTTTATGCGTACACTCGGTAAGGTTGATTCATATTTTTAAATTGAAACTTGAATATTATGAAAATTTCTATAGATCCTGGTTCTGCAGCAGAAGATACCGGTGGAATTCATCGGTTAATTTCAGCAACAGTTACTATGTGTGGAATCTTCATTATTTCAACATTAATCGGTGCATTAACAACAGGTATGGAAGGAAAACTAGCTGAATTACGTAAAGGACGAACCAAAGTTGTTGAAACAAATCATACAAGTAAAAAGATTTTCTTTAAAATTCTTTATTATTATTTTATTTTTCATGAAATAAATAGTTATACTTGGTTGGTCATCTAAAATCTTTGATATAATTAATGAATTAGTTATAGCTAATGAAAATCAACATAATCCATCAATTGTAATTTTAGCTCCAATTGATCGTATTGAAATGCAAGAAATAATCTCACAAAAAATTGATGGAAATAAAAACACAAAAATTATTTGTCGTAATGGTGATCCAATGTCAATACATGATTTAAATATTTTATCACCAAATAATGCTCGATCAATAATTATACTAGCACCATTAAATGATAATCCTGATGTAAGTGTTATAAAAACCATATTAGCTATAACAAATAATCCTCAAAGAACAAAATTAAAATTTCATATTGTTGCTGAAATAAAAGAACGAAATAATATTGAAGTAGCACGTATTGCAGGTGAGAATTTTGATGACAACAAAAAAAGAAAAAATAGAATTTTAAAATTAAAATATCTTATATACAGGTGCTGACGAGGTTGTATTTGTTCATGCTGATGAAATAATTGCACGTATAATAGCACAAAGTGGTCGACAATCAGGTTTATCAATTATTTTATCAATGTTACTTTCATTTAAATATGATGAAATTTATTTTAAATATGAACCTTTATTAGTTGGTAAAACGTTTAAAGATGCTTTATTTCTCTATCGTACTAGTTCCGTTATTGGTTTAATGTTTGCTGATGAAACAATAAAAATATGTCCATCGATTAATACAATTATTCATCAAAATGACCAAATAATTGTTATTGCTGAAGATGATGATGCAATTAATTTATCATTAAATTATTCATCATATACAATGTTATATGAGACAGATATTTCATCAATAACAATGTTTAATAAAAAACAAACATATATTGAAAAAAATATTATACTTGGATGGAATTCTAAAGCATCATTAATTGCAAAACAATTAGATAATTATGTATCAGAAGGAAGTGAATTACATATTTTGACAAATACTGATAAAGCAAAAAAAATTATAACCGAACAATTAGTTAATGAATTAAAAAGACAAAAATTATATTTACATTCTGGCGATATTACAAATCGACTTGATTTAGAAAAACTTAATTTGTAAATATGAAAAATCTTGTATTAAAACAAAAAAAAAAAAAAAAGAACATCTTGATTTGCTCTTACCTTTTAGATATAATTATCATGATGTTATTCTTCTTGCTAATGATATTAATAATGAACGAAATCAACTAGAAACATCATCTTCAGAAGCAGCTGATGCTGAATGTCTTATATGTTTATTACACTTACGTAATATGATTGATAAAAATTCTCGTCAAAAAACATTTAATATTGTTACAGAAATGTTTGATATACGAAATCGTGAATTAGCTGAAATAACACGTGCAGATGATTTTATTGTTAGTCCAAATATACTTTCAAAATATATAGCTCAAATATCTGAAAATAAAAATTTAACAAAAGTATTTGATGTTTTATTAACAGCTGAAGGTGTAGAAATTTATTTAAAACCAGTTTCATCATTTACTAAATTAGATTGTGCTATACCATTTCATCGAATACTTGAAGCATCACTTAAACAACAAACACTAGCTATTGGATATAGGCAAATGAAATATGCTCAAGATTCAAATAAATTTTATGGAATTGTTTTAAATCCTGATAAAGATGTACCTATTATATTTCAATATG